TTCCTAGAAAATACTTAGGGGGCCTATTCTCTCAAGACAAATTTGGTTATTCTTCCTTCAAGCAGGACGAGAAAAACAGGACATGGCACTATAATAACCATCTTGATTAAGAAAGGAAATCATGAAATAAAGCATCCAGAAGGAAGGAGCTCCTTTTATGAGAGCAAAGTTTTCCTAAACGTTGAATTGTACTGATATGAATAGAAAACTAATTTTTTTATTCTCTAAGAAGCTTTTCATTCTATGAGGCCCCACACACAAACATTATTCCATAAAGAGTAACATATATTATCTATATGCAGGTAGACACAAACCTAGATCCACCCCACCCTCACAGCCCCAAGAAGCAAAGGCAAGTATCTACATGGTCCACAGTTTTAAAATATTGAAAGGTGTGGCCCATATTAAGGAGGTCACTAGCAAGCCACAACTTAAAAAAAAAAACAAACCACAAAACAACACTTCCAATTCTCCAAGATATTAATTTTAAAACACTTTGAAAGTTAAAATAAATTTTAAACTACTGATTCAGTTACTACATACCCTTCACATCAAGTAAAGAAAATAAAAAATAAAAAACAAAAAACATACAAAACCATTCAATGATTTCAGAGACTTAGAAGAGCCAATAGCTCTACCTCCTTTTTCCTTCAAATTACTTGTCTAGGCTAGAGCAATAGTACAGTGGATAGAGTGTTTGCCTTGCACTGGACCTACCTGGTTAGATCCCCAGCACCCCATGTATTTCACCACGCCTACAAGGAGTGATCTATCAAGGGCAGAGTCAGAAGTTAGCCCTGAGCACTGTCTGGTATGCGCCTCACCCCCCCCCCAAAAAAAACACTCCTTGATCCCTATTACAAAGACTTGTCTCAATTATTAACATAACTGCAGAATCCCACATCTTTATTTTCTAAGGGTCTTATTCAACTGATCTGAGATTGGCATGCTCTAAAAAGTGCACTTTAGAACCAGGAGCGATAGTACAGCGGGAAGTGAATTTGACTTGCATGCAGGCGATATGGGTTCCATCACCTGCATCTCACATGGTCCCCTGAGCACTGCGAGGAATAGTTCCTGAGTGCAGAGAGCCACGAGTAATCCCTGATCATCACTGGATGTAACCCCAAAACAAAAACAAAAATAAATAAAAAGTGCACTTTAATTGTACCTATTCATTTTTTTTTGAAGGGGGGGGGAACAGGACCATATCCAATAATGCTTGGAAACTACTCCTAGCTTGGTGCTCAAAGGATCACAAGGTTATGGAGACTGAACCCAGGCCTCCTACATGCAAAGAATGCATTAAGTCCTCTGAGTATCTTCCAGGCCCAAAAATACATTTTAAACAGGCACACCATAGGTGTGACGAAGGTGTTCCTCTCACCACCAACAAAAACCAGCATGGAAGGTTCATATGCCTTACATTCAGAAGGGCTAAACAAGGTAATATTAATGACGTGAGGGCTTAGACGTCCATGAGCAAACCCCAAAGAGACACAGGAGGTGGGGAGGACACCAAACCTTCTTCTTAACTGTGCTTTGCTCTCACATGAGACTCTCCAGGATTGGCTATAATTGGTTCTTTTACATAAGAAGCAACACCTGACAGCAAATACATCATTAACACCAGAACGAAGTGGAGCATGCTGTCTAAAACACTGTGGTCAAAAAAGTCTAGGATGCATTAATTTTGCTCTGAGGAATTCCTCAGCAAACAAGCAAACTTTGAACTTCTGCTTAAAGTGTCTGGTAAAGGCTAAAAGGCAGAGATTTTTACTTTGATTCCTTTGAGAGGCTGGCCTAGTGCTCAACAAAGGGGTAGATAGAAGTCACCAGGATGAGGAGGAAAAAGGAATTTTGATCTGGTTCTCATCCAATAATGAAGGCCACCGAGTGGTCAAAGAGCAGGAAGTTGAAAACAGTTGTTCAAGTGCATTAGGTATTATTTATAAAGAGAATACTACGCCTTTTCACAACCAGATATTTAGAGTTGCATTTAAAGTTACAGTCCTCTCAGGCCAGAGAGCTAGTACACCCTGTGAAGCACCGGACTTGCACTTGGCAGACCCCAATTTGATCCCCGGCACCATATATGGGTAGCCAAGCACCCTCACATATGCACAAAGGGAGTAAGTCCTAGGCACCACAGGGTGTGGCCTCCAAACCAACAAATAAAGTTGCAATCCTCTCCGGTTCACATTTTGGAAAAGCACTTTGTGGATCAGATGAACTCTCGATCACAAAATGAAGCTCTCAACCCATTTCATTTGTCAGAATTCTGTGAAAAATCGCTAAGGACTGAATAATTTGCAGCATGGATCATTCATTACCAGAACAGATGTCTTGAGAACTCTTTACCAAGAAAGCCCTCTATATAATCTTCTCAGTTGATACATCAATTCCCTTTAAAGTATTCAAGTTACCTCACAACCATGAATTCTAGCAACACGGAAATGTTCACAAGAAACTCTACTCTCCTTTTGCAATAGGAAACACTGGGCCTGAGACAGCTCCCAGGCTGGAGAGCAATGCTTTGCATGTGGGAAGCCGGGGCAATCCCAGAGCACAGCCAAAAGTGACCCCTGAGCCCTAAGCAAGCCCCTAAAACCTCTTGGTGCCACCATACTTCCCCACCACCCCCCACAAAGGACAAATAAATTGGTATAATGGAAGAGAACAGGCCTTGCAGTAGTCAAGTTTAAGATTCAAATTTCAACCGCACTACCTGAAAGCTGTAATAATCTAGGAAGCTACTTATTCAACCTCCACTTTCTTCATATGAAAAATGGGCGAAATAACAACTTCACCATAATTAAAAAAAAAAAAAAAAAAGAACTTCGAAATGTAAATAAATAAATTAGGGTAACTACTTCACTCCAGGCACTATGTAAATGGGAACAAAGGCTATTATCAAAAAAACATCACATTTCTAATTCTGAAAATTAGAATTAGAAAATTAGAATTATAATTACATATACATTTGTGTATATGTAATTATAATGTTACCTGTAACATAATTATGCATATAGTTTTCACTGCTAAGTGTCAGTTTAAAATTATCAAACTTTTGGTCCCAAATTGGGCTGGCGCAATAGCACATTGGGCAGGGCGTTTGCCTTGCATGTGGCCGACACAACCGACCCGAGTTCGATTCCTCTGCCCCTCTCGGAGACTCCGGCAAGCTACCGAGAGTATCTCGCCCCCACGGCAAACCCTGGCAAGCTACCCGTGATGTATTCGATATGCCAAACACAGTAATAAGTCTCACAATGTTACTGGGCCCACTCGAGCAAATCGATGAACAACAGGAGGACAGTGACAGTGACAGTCAGTCCCAAATTATCTCTGTATATGGGAGGAGGGGGCACACTAGTCTGTGCTCAAAAGTTACCCAGGGCTTTTTGTTCAGGAATCACTCCTGGTGGGCCCAGTTATAGGGATCAAACCTGGGTCAGCTATGTGCAAGACAAGTGTTCTTCCTGCTACACTATCCTTAAGGCCCTTCTATTTTTTAAATTTCAAGAAGTTTTCACTAAGACAAATTTTCCCCTTTATCTTATAATTCCTATCCTAAAATAATTCCTCTATCCCTTTGATAGTTCTTTATTTCCATACCATTCTCAAAATAACACCTTTTCTTCAACACAACTCCAATCCCTCCTTTTTAGAGCATTTTCCTTTCATTATATCTTGGGTTTTCCTTTATGGGGGAGTGGGGGGGCACATCTGGTGGTACACAGGGCTTACTCACAGCTCTGTGCTCAGGGATCACAACTGCTGGTGCCCAGGGGACCAGATGAGTGCCTGGTATGAACCTGGGCTGGCCATGTGCAAGGCCTTATCTGCTGTACCATCTCTCCAACCCATATCTTAATATTTTTATCTTAAGACAACAGGCCCAAGACAAATGAGCCACCAGAGAAGTCATTTATACAAAAGCTTTAGTTTGTATGCGCTTGTAGTAGTATCAGTTCTTGCTTGAGCCCAATTAGACCCACGAGGCGGGAACTAGACCTTAGTCTTATGGTTGAGAACCACAGATACATAGCAGAAAAGCTGGAATCAAATTTTCAGATTCTAAGCTCAGGAGTCTGCCCAACTCATCGTCTAAAGCCACTCTCCCCTGCATATTCCTTCTAACGTGTTCAGAGAACACAGGAGGAAAGCTCTCCATCCCCTCGTATCACCAGAGCTCGGCTACAAAGGACAGCTTCTCCTTACACAATTTCCCACAGTATGCAAAACAGCCTAAGCAGCCCGGGCAGGGAGAGCAAAAGTTACTTTCAGAGAGGCTCCTGGCACCACCTCCTACTAAGAATCCTGGGGATGCTGCACGAAAAAGGTTCAAAGCCCTCGGCCACGGTCATCCCCCGCCACCTCCCTCCCAACCGCCCTATATATTTCTCCACTTCTGCCCTCTTTCCTCCTCCCCGGAGTTTTTCCTCTCGTCTGACATCCCAACGGGGACTGCTCTTCACCACAAATGACCCAAGTTGCCAAACAGATTGGTGCCCACGGCTAAGTCTTCCTCGCCAATCGCAGAGGGTCCGGCGACCACTGACGAGTGTCCCTCCCCTCTCGGGTCTCTGACGGGGAAAACTTCATCTTCCAGAGCCAGCACCCACGGGGCCCTCCCCCGCGCCTTGGCACCTCTCCTTCCCAAAGCCCCGCAGTCCCCCGGACCGCCGGGCGACCCTCGAGACCCGGGGCCCGGCGAGCCCCGGCAGCGCGCTGCCCCGCGGCCCACCAGCCCGGACCCTGCCCCGCCTCCCCGCCCAAGGCGCCAAGTCCGCGGGGCTCCATCTCCAGGCCCCGGCCGGCCTCCGCGGGCGCCGGGCGCGGCCGGGACGCCGGGAAAGGGTTGGCGGCGGCGGGCCGGGCGCCGGGTGGGGCCGGGCACTCGGGCCGGGCGGCCCGGGCCCCGCCGGCTCCCGGCTCCCGTGGCCCGAGCTCAGTCCTCCCGCTCCTCGGCCCGCGCCTTCGCGGCCTGTGCTCACCTGATCCAAGTTCTCGTCGCTGCCGCTGTCCTCTGTATCCGAGTCGATCACCACGCGGCCTTTCCGCTTCTTGACCATGGTGCTCCCCCGGCTTCCACGCCGGACGCCGCCCGGACTCCCCTCTCGCCCGCCTGCCAGTGGGACCGCCACTGCCGCCGCCACCGCCGCCGCCGCCGCTCGACCCACACAAAGGCGACCGCGCATGCGCGCTCCGCTCCGCCCCTGGCCCCGCCCACCTCCCGGCGCACGCCGTTCGCCGGGGCCCGGCGCCCCGCCCCGCCCCGCCCCCGACGCTGCGTCGGGGGCGTGGCCTCCGCCTCGGCTTCCGGGCTCTGTGTGTGTGGGGATTTCAGTCATTTACCCGAAGCGGGCCTCTAACGTGCGGGAGGAGGTCTGCGATGCTATGTCGAAGCTCCATGGGTCGCCTGCCTGCTGTGGACAAGTGGGTTGTTCTGAGGAGCATTTCAGCTGACCCTGATGGCGTGTCGAGGGCGCCTTCAGCCAGTCGCTTTGCACCTCCCCTCACGCCTCCTGGGCCGTGAAGCCGGTCTGCGGAGCTGTAGGAGAGACACAGGAACTGAGACGTGAAGGATGATGCAGCTGTGTGACTCAAGAGAAAGTCTAGGAGACGGTTTTCCAAGCAGAGAATAGCGTGGGCCATGTCCAGCAATAGTAGAAGCTGGATTCAGGGAACTGCAAGCATTAGTGTATGGAGAGAACTAGCAGGGCACGCAGCAGCCACCTCTTCCAGAGCCTAATGAACTATTAAAAATTTGAACCTTAATATGAATAGATTTTTAAGCTGAAGAACGGTTTTATTAGGTGTTTTATTTATTATTATTATTAAACCTCCAAGGACCGGAGCGATAGCATAGAAGGCAGGGCGTTTGCCCTGCACGCGGCAGATCCGGTTCGATTCCTCAGCCCCTCTCTGAGAGCCGGGCTACCAAGAGGGCAAAGCCTGACAAGCTACCTGTGACGTATTCAAATATGCCAAAAACAGTAACAAGTCTCACAATGGAGACGTTACTGGTGCCCACTCGAGCAAATCGATGAACGGGGGGACAGTGCTACAGTGCTATTAGACCTCCAAAGCCAACAAGGAGCCCAGCTCCTCTCCTAGTGATACCCAATGGTATGGTTTGATGCTCCAGGACCACCAGTGTCACACCTGGCAGTTCTCTGGGGTCTCCAGAGCTACATTCTGTGCTCCTGTGATGGGGTAGGGGGATGCATATAGAGGTAGGGGTTCAACTTGGGCTTTATGCTTACGACTGAACCCTTTGAGTTGTCTCCCTATCTTAGATTTGTGCTTGACATATTATTGTGGCCGCAACATGAAAAGTATATGAAAAGGAATGGAATCCCTTTAGGTTACTGGTATTTTGGTAAAAGATTATCATGTTCAGAACTAAGGGGTGGGGGCAGGGAGCAGTGGACATGAAGAGAAGTTCTTAAGTTTTGGGTAATTTGAAAGTTTTGGAATTTCCAGGACTTAAAGATTCTGTGGAGGAGCAGGGAGAAGAGGAAGTATCAGACAAATGATCAAGCTGGCAGTGAGTGGACCCTTTAGATAAAGACAAGCAGAGAAAACCTCTGTGTAGGAAATTAGTTTCTCTTTATACTCATTGAATTTGAAGTCAGCTAATGAAAAGGAGGACTCCAGAAGAAATTGGTTTGTAAAATCTGGTAAATGGGTTAGGGAATATATCAATATTAACTTGAAATTATTTTTCAGAACTCCTTGGGAGGGCCAAGGATGTAACTCATTGGTAAAACACTTACCTTGCATGTGTGAGATGCTGAGTTTAATCCCCAACATCACAAACAGAATACAAACCTACTTTTAAGAATCTGGAGATGCAGATCAGTGGTAGACCACAAAACTCCCATGTGTAAGGACGTGGGTTCAATCTCCAGCAACACATACACACACACACATACACACATACACACACACACACACACTGAGAACAAAAACTCGTTTGGAGTTAATTCTTTTTTCTGGCGTTGAATTTGGGATTTAGAGTATTTTCTTCCTATGACTTCTTGTTCTCTGGCTCCCATTTTCTTGTTACTGTCTAAAATTTATGTGCTCAGCAAGTTGACAGTAACCTATCACAATATGCGTGCCTTAAAATAGTTCAAAGAGCTTCCAGGTTGCTGAACATGTGCAGACTTGCAAGAGTGGTGCCTGGAGAGAACATGAAAGTGTGGAAGCCCTTCCCCATCCCATCCATCTAGCTATTTCTGAGTTACCTCCTTTAATAATGAGCTGTAAATCTGGTATTTGGTGACAATTTCTGTAGCCTCCCCACTCCTTGCAGCTTCAGGAACATTCGTGTCTATTAGGAAGATGGAAGAGTACTGTGGGGAAAGAGAAAAAGTGATATTCAAAGAAGAGAAGCAGTGAATCAAGTTGGTTCCAGAATAGAATGGTCCAGAGAAAAAAGAAGTCTAGGAAAATGCTAACAGCATTACCAACCAAGCTAAATATTTCACACAAGGGGCTGGAAAGATAGTATAGCCCCAGTAGAGAGCTTGCTTTGCATGTGGCTATCCTACGTTTGATCCCTGATATCTCATGGTCTCCTAAGGCCTGCCAGAAGTGATCCCTGAGCATAGAGCTAGAAGTAACTCCTGAAAATGGAATAACTCCACCACTGGTGTGGCCCCAAGCCCAAAAACATTTCACATGAAATTTAGCCTCGGCTTTTCAGCTTTCAAACAAAGTAAGGCAGAGAAAAATAGCATCAATACTATAAGTGGGAAAAGCAAAAGCAACTCATAGTCAGAGGTTCAGCAGAAATTCTGTGGCTGATTTAGAGCGACGGAATGAAACAGAAACACTGATACCATGCTGTGCCCACCAAAAAGATAGAAAAGGAACCATAGTGATAGTACAGTAGTTACGATGCTTGCCTTGCATGCAGCTGGCCTGGGTTTGATCCCCTGTGCCACGTATGGTCCCCTGAGCACTGCCAGGAGTGGTTTCTGAGTGCAGAGCTAAGAGTAAGCCCTAAGTAGAGCTGTGAGTGGGAATCTCCCAAGAGAAACAGAGAGAGAGAGAGAGAGAGAGAGAGAGAGAGAGAGAAGGAAAGAGAGAGGGAGAGAGAGAGATTCTAATAGAAATTTGATTTGCACCATTCCCTTAGATCTTTGGCAGAGTGGTAAATTCTGTACCAGAAAAAAAAGAGTTCCTATGATAAAAGAAGATACACATGAAATCTGTGTTAGGAAAGTGCTTCCAAATCAATTGGTCTCCTCCCTAATGTAATGGTACAGCTTGCTCCCTCTCAGCACCCTCAGAGTCCCAGACCACCCTCACAGTCGTCCTGTTACATGCTTTGCTAGCTTCTATTGCAGCTTTGTGGAGAGGCCCTGTCCTTCCTCAGCAGGCCCCATATGTTCCCCACTGGGTTATGGAGGAAGTTAACCCAAGGCTTCTGTCCAAGAGGGAGGTCCTGACAGACTGTGATGGCATGTGTGGTTTTGCATGGCCTTTCAGTCCTCTGTTGCTGAATAATGGGTCATGTTAGCAGATTTAGGGGGTTCTGAGAATCTGGGAATTGGATAATTTCAGGCCATCAGTCATATCCCTATGCTGTAAGTCATCCATTTTCCAGCTCAGTCTCCAGCTGTGATTTTACAGATCTATCTTGCTTTGGGGTTTCTTTTTTGCTTTGAAGTCACTCCCAGTGGTACTCAGGGGACCATGTGGTACTGGGAATTGAATCCAGAGCTCTCATATACAGCACATACTCCAGTCTTTTTTTTTTCTTTTTGGGTCACACCCGGCGATGCACAGGTGTTACTCCTGACTCTACACTCAGGAATTACTCCTGGTAGTGCTTGGGGGACCATATGGGATGCTGGGAATCGAACCTGGGTCAGCCGCGTGCAAGGCAAATGCCCTACTTGCTGTGCTATCGCTCCAGCCCCACACGCTCCAGTCTTCAGAGCATCTTCCTAGCCCCTTGATTGGGAGTTTCATCTTATTAGAGATCAGACTATTTTGTGGAACTTTTGTGTGTGTGTGTGTGTGTGTGTGTGAGAGCGAGAGAGAGAGAGAGAGAAAGAGAGAGAGAGAGAGAGAGAGAGAGAGAGAGAGAGAGAGCAACAACCAGAGGTGCTCAAGTTTATATCTGGCTTTTTGCTCAGGAGTGACCTCTGAAGCTTCTCAGGTGACTATGTGAGGTGCCAGGAATTTGAAATGGGGTCAGCAAGAGGTAGGTAAGCACCTTACCCCCTAAATAATCTCTTCTGTCCCATGAGCTCAGACTAGTATGATTATGGTCCAAACCTCAGATTTCCCTCTCTTCTGTGCCAGGAGCTGAAGCCCTCTCAGTATGCTACTAAAGAGACCCTCTGACTTCACACTTGGTTTTCAGTGACAGTGTCCTAATTCTTCTATCCTTATAGGTCTGATTCCACACCACAAACACCTGATACTTCCCCCAAACTAGGTCTCTCTCCCGGTACCCTCCTGCCAGCTCACTATGCCCATTCACCAAAGATAACACATTACATTAGTTACTAACTGGATTGCCAGCTCTTCACTGACAGCTGGGTGGTGCATGGCCCAGCTTCTTCCTCCCCTTCCCCCTCCCATCCCTCCACTTCCCCCTCTCCTTCTCTCCTCCCCTCCCCCTCCTCCTCCTTTGCATGAACTCTACCAAAGACCCACATCCTCAATCCCATGATCCAGTTTCTAAACATCATTTTATTCCCTAGTTTTTTCAAACCACTAATTGCTGCGGATTGGATTCTCCAAGAAGCACACTCTGAGAGGGAGTGTGCTGGGTAATTATTGAGGCATAAGAATCCCTGAGACTGACAGCCAAGAAAGGAAGGGAAAGTGGCATAGGGGGAGCTGCAGTGCCAATGCATGTGGCTGCAGCTTGTGCGCGCTAGAGCATCACGACGCTCCAGGGTCACTAGGCAAAGTAATGCCGCTGCCACTGTCGCATATGCGGTATTTCATTGACTTCATTATGCAGTGGTGGCTGCAGATTCTTGTGGTTAAGTCAGTACATGTTGAGTTTACTATCACAGACAAATCATTCTCACAGATGGGTTTGTGAGGAGAGTACAAGGTCAAAGTTTCCCTTTTCAGATTCAAGAGATGTGTTAAAAGGAAGGATCCAACAGAAAAGTTAAAGACAAAAAAGTGCAATAATCAAGGCCAGAGAGATAACTTAGTAGGC